AAGACTATCTTATTTCTTCTATTACTTTACTTGTGTTTAATGTATACTTATGTTATGTTTCTTGAGATTATTTTTAAACTAGTTTATTCTATTACTATCTTATTCTACAGACTTGATTAATACCGGAAGAGAGCCTTGCATCGTCGACATATAAAAGGTACGAGTTCGTGGCATGTTAAAAGTTTTCTTAAGCCTTCTAATAAATTGAACCAAACTGCTGCATTAAGCCTTCTCTATTGTATTGTTTTGTTCTACCACCAAGCAGTCAAGCTGCTGCACAGGCTTCCCAACTTGACATGATACACATTTACTAATTCTCTCATTTTTGACAAGTGTAGTATTGCAGAACTTGAAAGTGTGCCAGGTTGAGGATTTCAGTTCCAGTGTGCCAGGTGTGCCAGAACTTAAGGCTTCTACTCTTGTGTTTCTTCCCTTTTGGTTCGTAAAAGAATCTGGATTGAATGAGAATGATCAGTAGAACTTGAAATTCTTTTGCTATGCTTTTGCAAAGTACCACAGTTATTGCAGGGACTTGTGTTATGCTTCTGCTATGCTTCTGCTCTTGTAACTGTTAGCTATGCTTCTACTATGCTTCAACTGGGAAATGAATTTGTGCAATATTGTGTACCTTTATGGGTTGCAAGTACAATGAGTCTGTCAGCTTTAACCATTTACAATACTATACTATTAGACATTAGTAACATATTTATTAATTGGAATGAAGCCAAAAGTAAAATCTTGAGGTACTGTAATTTATAGTCATTTGTTTGCTATTTTTGTTCTTTTAAATGCTATTGTATTATGTAACATCCATTATCCATATACAGTTATACACACTCCTTAATAATACATACAATCCGATCCGAAAATCCGATCACCAATCCGATCCGAAATTTAAAAATCCGATCCAATCCGATATAATTCGGATCAGATTCGGATTACAATTTGTGGAATCCGAAATCCGAAATTTCAATCCGAAATATGCTAAATCCAATCCGATCCGATCCATGCACAGCCCTAATGATACCTAGCGTACCGTGTTTTTGTATGGTATGTAGAGGGCTAAATAAGGTTCCTGATTCCCTTCTCTTGTCATGATAGCAGAATGTATAGCAAATTCAATAAAATCTCTCTCACGTCTAGTATCATAAAGCCTTTTATGTAATATACTTTCAACTTAATTTAGATCAATATGATACTTTAAAATCCAAGAGGAGTACTCCTTTCCCAATTCGAAAACATCAAAATGACCCCACTCATCGCTGACTGAAGATCCAACAAGATATAAATTATCATTGCTACAACCACAATTAATAGTATTGTACATCCACTTTTGGCATGTGTTGATTTTGGAGTGAATGATGAACCCTAACTCGGCAGAGAAGATTGAACAACAGAATGTAGAGAGAGGAATATTGGAAGAGAGAAAATGAAATTGTAATTCAATTTTTTCAACTATTCAATGTATTCTCATATACACATATATATAGTCTTAGCTAACTAATCAACCACTTAAACTAATTGTCCAACTAATTAACTGATTCTAGAAGATTCTACACTACTATGTACATTCCCATTCTTATTACTCCCCCTCAAGCTAGGTGGTGCAAAAATGTTCAGCACACCTAGCTTGCCCACGAGATATCCATGCTGCTGTGTTCCTAATCCTTTCGTCAGAATGTCAGCTTCTTGATCTCTAGTTCCCACATGTTCTGTCTTTATCAAGCCTTCCTGAATCTTTTGTCTGATAAAGTGACAGTCTATTTCTATGTGTTTCGTCCTCTTATGGAATACTGGATTGGCTGCAATTTGCAAAGCAACCCTACTATCACTATACACCTTAATTGGTAAATCTACTTTTGTCCCCAACTCCTTTAGTAATGCTGTCAACCATACTACTTCTGATACTGCACTTGCCATGCTTCTATATTCAGCTTCAGCTAAACTTCTTGACATTGTGTTCTGCTTCTTTGACTTCCATGAGATCAAAGAACTTCTATATTTCACCAGAAAACTTGATGAAGGTGCAAGGAGTTTTTGGTGGCTTCAATTAGATGCAAACTGCTACCTGTCACTAGCATATCATCCACATAGACTAGAATTACTACAATGTCTGACCCTTGTTGTTTGATGAACAAGGAATGATCTAGGCTGCTCTGAAGAAAGCCAGAATGTAGAAGTGCCTCTGTCAGCCTGAGGTTCCATTGTCTACTAGCCTGTTTAAGGCCATAAAGGGATTTTACAAGTCTACAAACCATACCCTGCTCCCCCTGGCTTGTAAAACCTTGTGAAAGCTCCATATAGACTTCATCATGGAGGTCTTCCTGAAGGAAAACATTATAGACATCTAGCTGATGAATGAACCAATTGTTGACAGCAGTAATAGATAGAACAGTCCTCACAATAGCTATTTTAACCACTGGGGAGAATGTCCCATTATAGTCTAACCCCTCCCTTTGGTTATACCCTTTAGCTACTAGTCTAGCTTTGAACCTCTCTATCTGGACATTTGCTTTCAGCTTCACTTTGTATACCTATTTGCAACCTATAGGTTTCTTCCCTGGTGGCAGCTTAACTAGTTTCCAAGTGTTGTTCTCCTAAAGAGCTTGAATTTTAGTCTGCATAGCTTCAACCCATTTGTTGTCTTGAGATGCCTGCTGGAAACTTTGAGGTTCTGTGACTGCTGAAAAAGCTTTAAGGTAGGTGTGATGAGATGAGGACAGCTTGTCATAGCTAACAACATTCTCAATGGGATATAAAATTGAGTTGGTAGATGGCTTCTGAGTAATATAGTCTGTCATCCACACTGGCTCCTTGGATCCTCTTTGAGATCTTCTAAGAGGAATTGCACTGTCAATGCTGCTTGTGGATGGCAAAACATGTTCAAGATTATCAGTTGGCATCATTGAATCACCCATATCAGTAATGTTTTGTACGTCTTCATTATGATCAGCTGACTCTGAAGATGCATCCATATATTGTAAAGCTTCATTCTCAAGAATTCCCCCTAAGGTTGAACTCTCCAGTGACAGGAACTGCCTCTGTCATTATCACTGGATCAGCTTCAGATATGCTTTATGGAGTAGGGTTCAATACAGGTGAATATGCTGGTATTGAGCCTTCTGATGGTAAATAATCATTATCATTTAGAAGGAAGGGATCTATTGTTTGATCCATCTCTGTATCCTGCAACTGAAATGGAAAGATCTCCTCTCTAAAAATGACATCTCTGTTCACAAAAAAACAGATGTTTCTCCAGATCATATAGAATGTAACCTTTGGTTACACTAGAATACCCCATAAACACAGCTTTAATTGCTCTGCTTCCAAACTTGTCTCCCCTTGGCAAAGTAGCAGCAAAGCATAAACATCCCAAGGTCTTCAAATGGCTTATAGAAGGCTTTTTATGAAAAAATACCTCATAAGGAGATTTACCTTCAAGAGCTACCGATGGCAGCCTATTAATCACATAAGCTGCAGCTAGTATATAATGTCCCCAAAATCTGATAGGAATATATCCTTGAAATTTGAATGACCTTGCAACTTCAAGGAGGTGTCTGTGCTTTCTCTCTGCTACCCCATTTTGTTGGGGTGTGTAGGTACAAGTTCTTTGATGTATAATTCCCAAGGATTTAAGCAGATCTTGCATTTCTAAGTTCACAAATTCCCCTCCATTATCAGACCTTATTATCTGAACCACTCCATTAAACTGTGTTGCTATCATCTTGAGAAAATCTTTAAGTACTATGATGACATCTGATTTAAATTTCAGCAGAAAAATTTATGTTACACGAGAGTAGTCATTTACTGTCGTTAAGAAATGCTTATTTCCATCATAGGTTGGTGTACTCTATGGTCCCCAAACATCTAAGTGCAGCAATTAAAACACCTTATTTGTCCTACTAGTACTTAAAGGGAAATGTAACCTGTGATGTTTGGCTAATGGACATACATCACATCTATTTATTACAGATTCGCACATCTCTAAATTGCAACCTAGCAATTTCTCCATAGCTTTTCCTGATGCATGCCCTAGCTTCTTGTGCCATACCATCATTTCTTCTTTGTCTCCTTGTGCTGTTAATCCTTTTGTGACTTCTCCTGATTCAGTTCCAGTTGCTTTATTTGATTGTGCTACCAGTAGATAAAGGCCATCCTTCTCTCTACCAATCCCCTTCACCACCCCATTGAAAAGGTCTTGGAATAGACAAAAGTCAGGGTAGAGTGTAATCATACATTTAAGATCCCTTGTCACCTTAGACACTGGCATAAGATTATAGTGGAAGTCAGGTAAAAACAATACATCCTTTATTTCCCCTGTTCTTGTGACTCTGCAGTTTCCAATATGTGTCACCTGTACTACTTTCCCATTTGGCAGATTTACCTTCCTAATATTTTTTGTGTTAATTGCTTTAACATTGTTCAACAGTCTTATATCAGCAACCATGTGATTAGTTGCTCCCGTGTCTATTATCCAGTCTGCTTTTGCTATATCAACAAGAAATGAATAGATATTACCTGCCATGTTGGCTGTGTTTTCCTGTTGCTGTTCTCAATTAGCATTCAGATTCAGCATCTTCATGATCTGATCATACTGCTCTGTAGTTAATTGTGGTGCTCTGGCTATTTCTCCTTTGTTGATTCCCTAAGGTTGATAAGTCCCTCCTGCATTTCCTGCAATTACATTTGGAGGATTGTTTTTAGCACAAGCATTATACGCATTATTCATTTTCTTCTTTCCTTTGAAACCTGCAGGGTATCCAATAATCTTGTAGCATCCTTCTTTCGTGTGGCCTTTCATTTTACAGTAATCGCATTGCACATTCTAGTTCCTCTTTGGTCTTGGATAGTTCTGATGCATATCACCTTTGCAAGCTAAAAGTGTTGCAGAGTCACTTGCATCTCCAGTTGTCATGATATTGGCTACTGATCTTTGACTTTCCCTCTCAACCAGCATTGAATAAGCCTTATTAATGCTTGGTGTAGGGCTAGTCATCAGAATTTGGCTTCTAGCTTGTTCATAGGTTTCAATCCCATAAAAAACTCAATGAAATTCTTAGACTTCGCGCAATCACATGGAGGTGGCACCATGTTGTCAAACTCATCCCAGAGATTTCGAAGTTTTGAAAAATACAATGATACACTATCAACTCCTTGAGTAATTGTAGCTACTGCTTTATGCAGTTGATATACTCGTGAGGTATTTACCTTATCAAATAGTTCCCTCAAATCTTCCCAAATAGCTCTAGTATTCTTCGCATATACAATCCCTGTTATCAATTCCTTCGATACTAAGCTCATGATCCATCCTAATACAATAGCGTTACATCGATACCATTGATGACCTAGTGTTGCATCAAAATCCCCCTTTTTAGAGTTCCATCGACTAACCCTAGCTTGTTCTTCCCAAGCAGCTAGATTTCCATCACTCGACTCCAGGTGATGTAATTGTCAGAACCAGTCAATTGAATTGAAATTATCGGAGCTCCAGTTGTATCTGAAGGATGAAGGAACAACGGTTGGTTATGGTCCAAATCTATCTTTGCCGCCATTGTTGAATCTCAATTTTGCAGTTCACCTATCAATTGGGTTATAGAACTAACAGAGTATCCCAGAATCAATGTTGTGGACTCGCAATCACGATCAATCGCTCTGATACCATGTTGATTTTGGAGTGAATGATGAACCCTAACTCGGCAGAGAAGATTGAACAACAAAATGTAGAGAGAGGAATATTGGAAGAGAGAAAATGAAATTGTAATTCAATTTTTTCAACTATTCAATGTATTCTCATATACACACACATATAGTCTTAGCTCACTAATCAACCACTTAAACTAATTGTCTAATTAATTAACTGATTCTAGAAGATTCTACACTACTATGTACATTCCCATTCTCATTAGCATGGGATAAGTGATAGAATTTAAGGGTCCACCAAATTCTATAGAGAACCAGTTTCTCTATCAGGTTCAACAGAACACACGCACATTGCGATAAATAAATGACAATAGGAATTTTACGTGAAAAAATTCCAGCTCAACGGGATTAAAAACCATGACCTACCCTTGTAGGATTTCAACTTCACTACTGAGCAACTTTTAGATTACAACCTATCCAACCCAGGAATTAACCTCTTAATCTCTCACTAACTTATAATACTCTATTACAAGCTACTTTGTAATAACTCTATTACAAAGACTTTACAACTCGACTAACTCTAGCCTAGATTCAAACACAAGGGTTTAAGATTTACAGAGGGTTTCCGACAGAATACTTCTAAACAAGATAAGTAGGAATTGCACTTGAAGAACTATTATAAAGTTACAACTCAACTAAGGACATACAATAACTTGATATGGGAACTGGTTCGTAATCGTGTAATTCTTTGTTCTTGATGCACTTGAGAATTGCTTGCTGGATGATTAATCACGTGAGAGAGCTTGAGTAAATTCTCGGAGTGTTCAAGTGATTTGTTTTACTTTTCTTGATGTTAATAATACATGTGTGACATCACTTACAATGATGTAAGCGAGGTAGGTAAAAAGTCTTCCTCAAAAAGTTGACTGTTGCACTGTTCCTGTACTGTATCGTGTGCAGGCAGCAACTTTTGCAGCTGGAGAGTTGACTTCGTACAGTTACCTCGGGAGCTGGTAGCGACATGTTCCTCTGTTGTTCCTTTGACTCTAACGAGTTGAACTGTGTCCCAGCTGGAGACATGTTGATCTTTTAAGGTATTGAAGAAGGTATCTGATTCTTTACAGTAAGTTTGTTAGATCATAAAAATATAACATGGATACACATATAACCTATCAAGAAGAGTAAATCATTTCCTTATCAAGATCAAAATAGCAAAAGCTATTTAACTTGCTTATTGTCCAAAAGATTGCTCCGTTGAAGAAAACTCCCTTACAATATTGCAAATGGCTGATAAGTGGTATTAGAAACTAAGCTTGAGATAGCCTCCAGGAGTTGGTTTCTGAAGAGTATATCTCAATACGGGCGAAACAACCTACATTTATAACTTTGTAATGAAGTGATTTTGAATGATCAAAAGCCAAACTCAGGTCTAGTGAATACATATATGGGCTTGGAAGAGAATTGAATTGCTTTGTAGTCGGATAACAAACTCTGTACTCGTTCACGCATTTCCCTGTAAGCGTTTGTTTAACACAACAACAAAGAATTAAACCACCGCAGGAGTTAAAAATTTGAACCATGTCAGTACGCTGGTCTTTGAAAAAATCCAAGATTCTAATAGAAGATTTCGCGTTATCATTGAGGGGAAAGCAACAAGGTTCTTGAAGATCATACGACAACGACTGTAGAATGAGTGCACTTGGGAAAACTTCAGGCTTCCAGAGGGAAGAAAAACCACGACTAGAGATGAGAGACAACCACCGTGTGGAAACAAGCTTGAACATGAAGAGTAGTTTTATTGGGAGGAGGAGTAGAATCTTGGATAGAAGATCATCATTGCCTTCAATTGCTTCAGCACTACCAAAACCTTTGTCACACATCTTGTATGGATTCAAAGTAAGAGAAAATTATTATCCATAAATAATACATTCAACAGTAGTTATGAAAAGAAAAAAAAACACAATAGTATGTAGAATAAATCTAGCAAAGTAGAGAAAATAGGAAGTAGGAGACTTTGATCATTCACTATAATCTCTTTAATATCACCTTTGATGTTTTACACTTCAATACCACACAAGAGGGGGTAAATTATGTGGTGATCAATTTTTCGCTTAAACTGATTATGGAAGGACCTGGTTTTTCTAAGTGTTCCTTAACCTACTATTACAGAAATAGTAAATGCGGAAAGTAAAGAACACAAGTATTTTAAGTAGAAAACACCTCGCTCAAAAGGTGAAAAAACCACGACCTACTTCCCAATAGGATTTTTCCAAACTCTTTACTAAATCACTGAGCCAAAAACTGCATTTATAAAAATACTTTTGTAAACCTAGGACTAACTCTAATCCCGTTGTGGCAAATAGCCTCTAACTGCTGCTACAAATTCAAGTTAACTCTAACTTGAAAACTCTGAGTACCTATTACAATTGCCTTTAGATAAAGATGAAAGGTACAATATGAAAATACCTATTACAATTGAACTAGAATAAAAGACAGACACTTGGAACTGGTTCTTCTATCTGGTTCATGTAGCTTTATGTTTGCACACTTGAATCACACACGAACTGCTTGCAAAATTGCCTTGCCATTTTGCTCTCAATTCACGTTTTACTTCTGCTTATGTGCGTACCTGTAAAATGAGAACATTCTGCCATATGCTCATATATAGAGTTAGTAGATGAAAAAATAATTAGAGTTCTAATGCTACTCTTCTTTGGTGGAAGAGTTCTAATTAATCTCAACTACTAAATCCTTCCTTATCTTGATGATGTTCTCTTTTAGTAAGGAGTCCTTTTCCTTATTATTTATGCAATCTTTTCGATTAGAGAAAATCCATTATGCCAGAATACGTTTATCCCCTGCATGTGCATCTCGCGTGCCTTGAGTCTGCCTGTGTCTATGTCTACCAATGATGGACCTGGTTCATTTCTGAGTTCCTTTGTCATTCTTCAAAACTATCCTTTTTCTTGGACCAACAGATTCTCCCTTTTTGATGATGACAAACTCTGTGCTTCCATAAGCTTAGGCCTGTTTCAACTTAGCTCAATACCAACACTCTATTAGAAACATTTTTCCTTTTTATCACTTATCATCAAGGACCAGGTTCATTAGGTTATAAATATCACTTTTCAGAGTATAAAGCACAATTTCTTTTCCCCCTTTTGGCATCATCAAAAGGTTGCATAAAAAATGTGTGATTCCCATATGGTAAAAATTACTCATGGCCACTGGGGCAACTGCAAATGCATTCATGGATTAATAATCAATAATCAACTACGAATTCAAATTATCAAGGAAATATAGACAGTCAATAAGAGCAAAAGCAGCAAACTTCATTGATAGAGAATATGATTCTACCACAATCCACAAAAAGAAATAAAAACATTTAAAAGATGAGCAACAAAAAGAAACATCCCGAATCTGGGTCACTGAAAAGTCTAGACAAGGGCTAGGAAATTAAGGCTTGGAAGAACTAGGGGCATGTGTTTTGGCTTGGAGAAGGTGTAGCATGTCTTGAAGAATTCCATCATTCTTCTCCCTTTCCTTTGTGAGCTCAGCTCTGAGAGCATCTCTCTCAGATTCAACCTCAGCCAAACGAGTCTTCAGCGTTGCTATCTCAGCATCCTTTGCCCCACTCTCCTGCACTAGGGCTCTGACCTTGCTGTTGACAAGTGTCTTTTTAGATGAACCAGTTTCATTGAGAATGGCATGGATCTCATATTCACAAGCAAGAAGAGTATTGATTCCAAAATGGTCTTTGCTTGTGGCCATCTCACACTTTTTCAGTGGCACCTTACAATGAGCAAGAACAGTAGCGAGAATGAAGCCATAGGGAATGGCATGGGCTTTAGAGCCGTTGATAAACCTGTCTAAAAGCTTAATGATGAACCCATGCCAGTTGATCTGCCTCCCACTATCTAGACATTCCATCAAAACCAAGTCCATGTAGTTGGCCATATGCCTCCTTTCCTGCCTAGGCAGCATGCACTTGTTGATGAATTCAAATAGCACCTTGTAAGGTGGCTTCACTTCACTCTTATAAACAGCCTTGGGCCCACTTTCTTCTTTATTATCACAGAATTTTCTAGTGATGGCCAGGGCAGTAGAAAGAGAGTCCAGACTTGGCCATTTCTGCCTTGTATAATCATCATAACCTTCAGAGGGTATACCAAGGATTTCACCCAACTCTTTTGCATCAAAGGAAATTTGAACCCCTTTCACCAGGCTGGTGACTCTGCCATCCTTTACCTCAAAATTGGTCATGAATTCAACCATCTCATTCCTTGCTAGTCTTCCATCTAACTGAAGGACCATGTCCTTCCTCCCCTGTACCTCAAGCTTCTCAAGCAGCAGGACCATTCCTTCTTCCTCCAAATCCTTCAAAAGTATCCCCTTCAAGATAGCTCGTTTTCTAAACTTGGCCAGCTTGTCCTTTTCACTATCAGACTCATCCTCTTCTTCACCACTCCATTCTTCTTCTTCAGTAATTTTCACTTGCTTGGCTTTTACTACAGACCTGGTCCGTTTAGCCAAGGTAGAGGGTTCAACAGGCTTAGATACAGATGAAGACTTCTTTAAGGAAGTCTTGTCTTTCTTGGGCTTGGGGGTCTGAACCTCAACCTCAATAGTCATTATTTCACCTTGATGTACCAGGTCCATCTCATCCACTTCAACAGCCTCAACCACCTTTTCTTTTCCCCTATTCCACTCTTTTCTTCTTATTCTCCTCTAAAGCTCTCTGCAACTCCTCCTCACTTATGTTTAATTTGCTCCTTGTAGTTTTTCCTCTTGGGAGAGGAATTTCAGAAGTTTCAGAAAGAGCTGCCTTCCTTTTCTTGTTGTCTCTTGCTGTGCTAGGGGTCATTGCTTTAGGGGTCTTGTCTTCTTGGGTTTGTAACTGTCACCTATCTTTTTCAATAGATCAGCTAGCGTTTCCTCAACAGATGAACCAGGTTCATCTGCTTGCTTTCCAAGATTCACTAGCCCTTCAGCGGCTTCTCCCGATTCACTTCCCCCTGTGTTCTTGCTACTTTCTTCCACCTGTTCTGGCTCAGCTCCACAGATACCCATTCTAACAGTTTCAGAGGTGGGTGAAGAATCAGCCACTTCTTTCCCTTTTCCCCTCTCATCACTCCGTACTCCCTCACTCTCTTTTTCTTTTTCTATTTTACTTTTACCTCATCTCCTTCTTGTCTCAGGCATTTTCACATCCACCACAGACCCAACCAATACAAATCTATTTTCCAAGTTTTCAGCCAAATCAAAGATGACCTCAGTAGAAGGGTTTTGCACAGATGTTACCTGCTCAGAATCGAAAGACCCAGTTCCTTCCCCCTCAGTTGCAGACTTGAAAGAGTCGTTATAATTTTGGGGTTCTTGGGCTTTAATTGCTTGTAGCTGTGCGTTTAATTTCCTTGAAAGCATACATGTAGCCATAATTTTTCGAACATGCATTTTTACTCGCCTTCTCCTAGGTTGAAGGGCAGTGCTAGGTTGAGGGGTAGTGGAAGAAGAGGAAAGGGTAGGTGGAGGAGATGTACTAGGATTATCTTGAGGGTTGGTCATTTCTCTTTATTCTATAAGGGAGGGGATGACTTGATTTAATTGTGAAGGTGAAGAGAAGAGAGAAAGGTTCGATGGTTATCAAAAATTATGAGTGAGTAGCAGGGATGATGATGAGGGATTTAAAAGAGGAGGGCAATTAATACACAACGACAACTTTTAGCAGTCAAATAGAAGTCTAATCATCCTGAAATTTCAGTTCGAATAGACGGTTAGATTTCCCTAGAATCTAGGTATTTTAAAGCGGTGAGGATTCTTGTTGAAAAGGAATTGGTTCAAACTTAATTGTATAGGCTTTTGGAAGATTTTGGACTTGGGTAGGACTATGCTCATGATTTAAATATTAGTATTTCAAATTGTGCAGAGTGTAGAAAACATACCTCGCTATTCAGATGAACCAACATTGATGAACCAGGTTCTTCACTGAGAATCCTTTTGATCTTGTCTCAATTTGCCAAAATAGAGAAAATTTCATTAGAGACCAGTGAGTCATATTAACACATGGCACATGAGTATACTATTTACAGAAGGAGACTGAGCAAAAATTAATCTAGTTATTTACACAGGTTCCAGATTTTCTAACCAATTTTTTTTCCATTTTTTAATTGTGCATTCTGAACTGGTTCGATTAGGTGATCTTAATCGTCCATAATTCTAACCTGTTCCTTTTAAAGTTCTCTCTACTCAGTGCTTTTGTAAAGATGTCAGCACACAACTCTACAGTGATCAAGCCTTTTTCATCGTTGTCCCTAAAAAAAAAGTGCCTAACATCTATGTGCTTAGTTCTCTTATGATGAACCGGGTTCTTTGTCATACTAATGACATTGGTGTTATCACAAAAAATAGGGATGCATCCAACATCAATTCCAAAATCCATTAATTGTTGTTTGATCCACAACAATTGAGCACAATATGAAGCAACATCAACATACTTAGCTTCAGCAGTAGATAAGGCCACTGAATTTTGCTTTTTAGTGGCCCATGACACAATACATGAACCAAGAAAGTGTGCCATACTTGAGGTGCTCTTTCTATCCACAAGAAAACCTACATAATCAGTATCAGCATATCCCACAAGATTGAAGTTACTACCTTTTGGATACCAAAGACAAAGATCAGTGATGCCTTTTAGATATCTCAAAATTCTCTTAACCGCAGTCAAGTGAGACTCCTTTGAATTTTCCTGAAATCTTGCACAAAGGCCTACACTGAAAACAATGTCAGGTTTACTAGCAGTGAAATACAACAATGAGCCAATCATTCCCCTATATAATTTCTGGTTGACAGATGAACCTGGTTCATCTATATCCAACTTTGT